TTACAAATAATCCCCAGTGATTTTAAACTGTATTAATAATAATGATCATTCACCTCTACCAGGAAGTCACAGTTCTCAACAGTGAAAGCAACATCTTTAACACCATCGCCATGTTTCACCAGGTGATCTCCCATCTCTGTTCATGAAAAGCAACATAATATTTTATAACAAATGTGGTTTTAATGATAAAACCCAAAAATATCAGTTTATCAGCCTTACCTTTATTACCAGGATTCAAGGCAGAAGTGAAGACATAAATAATCTACAGGTAATAGAAAACAGACCAGTCAATGACTTTTTATTATTCTGACTGAACTGACTGTTCTCTTTCTTCAAGTATAAAGGGGACAGACAAGAACGATGACGAAATCTCTCACCTTGCCCTGTTTGACAGCATGAGACACAACATCACGACTGCCCGTCTCCAGCCCACGATACGCCAATGGCTCAAAACCCAGTTTATTACAGTAATAAGATGCTGCCTGAGGTAGAACAGAGAAGAAAACAAAGAGGACAGCAGGATGGTGGGATTTCAACTTTAAGTAATAAAATAATATTATTTGTATTTTAATTATATCCAAACTTTACATTTTGAACGTTCAAATGAAATTATTCACTTATTCTTTAAAAGTGAAACTATATATTGTTTTTCCTAAGCATAAATAATAGCTAGCTTTCATACATTTTACCATGATGCACAGGAGACCACCCCCTGAAATTTCACTCAGTGTAACAGCAATTTATACACCAAACAATATTGTCAATTAATATGTAAAGACTCTGTTTGAGGAGACATATTTTAGCTTCCAAATAATTACTTACTGTAACTGTCATTTTAAATCTATACACTTTGCCTTCAAGCCAATTTGCAGGAAAGTGTTTTAAATCATTTAAATGATAATGAAACTGAGTATGTATATACAATATTAGTGCTGAGCAAAAATGAATCATGATTTAATGCATGCAAAATAAAAGATGTAAAATCATTATGCATATAAAAATACACACATGCACGATTATATTATATTTGAGGAAATTTGTATTTTCTGCCAAAAATCATTATAACATTAAGTTTATATCATCTTCCATAAAGATATTTTATAAATTTCCTTTCTCAAATGTATCCGAACATTTTGATTAGTATCATGCATTGCTAAGAAATCTCAATTCTCAAATCTCAATATTTTGAAACCATCGCATACCAGATTTTCAAATAGTTCTATATCAGCCAAATATTATCCTATATTCCTACAAACCACATGGTTTACATCTGATGATGTATAAAAAACACACAGGACTGTTTTTGTGTTGTAGGTTCACATATTTGAACACACAGATGTCATTATAAACATGTTGTTTCATTTGTGCATAATTTGAAACATTAAATTTGACATTTGGTTTCTGCTATCTGTTAATTATGTGAATTAATATTATTAATCCCATAATTTCACATTTTATTTTGCCCTTTTAGATTTTTTTTTATTCTGTCTATCAATGTAATAATGCAGAAACAAAATGCTAAAATTTCTCTTTGACCCAGACATCTTTCATTTTTTTTCTTCCCCCGTTAGTAGATCTACAGTTTGATAATTGCCCCATCTACTGGTGATATCAAAGTATTGCCGATAAAAGTCTCAATATGGAACAAATTAGTAAGTGGAGAGGATGGTGTTTTTCTCCCACCCCTGAAAAGAGCCAATAGCATCTCCCTACAGAACAACTCCTCTAACATTCAAACAAACAGATCCTACAAACATATGTTGTTTAAGAATTACCTGTTTGGCATTTCCAACCCAGAAAGTGATGTGGTCAAAGCAGATGAATTTGCCTTCCTCGTGCTGTTGGGGTGCATACAAATATAACTTTTTAAGTATATTCTTATTCTCAAGTTAATCTTAAATTTAAATGATGGAGTTTGCAAGTAAGTAAAGTTTCTCTCACAAATAGAGAGAAAAAACATTTTCATTTAGACAAATTAATAAAAATCATGACATTATAGCTTACCTTTTCTCCTTTGTCAATGTACGATGTCTGGAAGAAAAGATAGGATAGATTTAGGTTTCTTTGGTCAGTTTGCAAATAAAACTGTTCATTTAAAATAAAATCCAGTGCCTTACCATGTTGTAGTGGTTTTTGCAGGCTTCTTCTTGAGTGAGTGCAGAAATGAGGAGAGGTGAGTGCAGATGCTGCAGATGTGAATTTGTAGTTCTGAATGAGGCTCCGCCCAGAGGCTCAAGTGCTCATGGTGCTCCCATATAGGCTAGTTATGCTCAGTGTGCGAAATCTACATTGACCACTGAGATTGAGTTTTTTTTTTTTTTTTTTTTTTTGTAGTAGTAGTAGTAGTTTGTGTAGAAGACCATATATGCACACAGCAAGGCTTATTGAATCAAATATATAAGTTTAATTTAATGACAGCTCATTAATTAAAAAAGCCACTAGAAATAGGCTTTAATCCGACTTACATTTAAACTATGTATAGTTAAAAACACATATTTTATAAGAAAAAATATCCATTGAACATTTAAAGTGTCAACCATTATAGGGGCGGTCAATTTTGTATTTATATTAACTTAAAAAATATTTTTATTATGACTGTTAGTATTCAATATACATATTTGTGTAAACTACATATCCACCATTTAAAGGACCCACCCACACATTTTGTATTAAGGTTCAAGGTATTAATTAAGGAGGTATTATTTATAAATTTAAACACCCCCCCCCCTCATATTATTATAATTTTTTTAGAATAATACAGTCTTCAAATAAGGATAAGTCCAAAACTCCAAACTAAATATAGGTTTACCCATAATGATAATTGATCGCTGAACATGTGCCTGTTTTATACTGTAACTAATTGCTGTGTTTTTTTTTTAGTTTTGTTTTTTGCTGTTTGCTGTTTGTCTGCATGCAAAAGAGGAGGCACTCGGTTCCTTCAACTCCATTGGCTCGTTGAGTTGGGCTTGCAGTCTTCAGTGAGAGTCTGCATGCTATAGTTCTGATGTCTATATGCTAGATATTGAAAACAAATGTGTATTTTGTAAATCTCTCTCAAAAAAGACAAATGTTGAAATTTGTTTAAATCATTTGACATCATTTTCTTTTATTACAACTCTAAATCTTTGCATTCATGGCTTTTTACTCACAAGTGTTTATTTTTGAAAAAGACTCCAATTCTGGCTATTTGTAATATGTTTTGTCTTTAATGGGCATAAAAAACTAAAAATCTTGAGCTTTCAGTGTATAACCTTAAATCATTTTGCCGTTTTTATTCTTTCTTTCTTTCTTTTTTTACTATATGTTTTTTTTTTTTTTAATTTTCTGTTTTCTTTAAAATGTATTATGCAGATTGTAACACCAGCTCTGTATTTTTGTTTAAAGTTATTCTATGTTTATGCAATCTATTGTTAACTCGTTTTAAAATCAATAATAAAACTTTAAACTTAAAAAAAATTAGTTCTGATGCATGAAGACTGATACGCATCTGTCAGCTAAAAGTTTGAGGTTAGAGGTTAAACAAACCTCTGTTAAATTGACAGATTTTTTATTTATGCATTTCTTTTAATTGTTTAAAAGTTTCTCAGCATTAATGTCTACACTGTAAAATGGGAGCTTTATCGCTTATTAGCCTAACTAGTTCAGCCAGTTTCTCTCTTCAAAATGTTACTTTTATTTAAACTGCTATATTTTTAGTTGGCCCAAACCTGACTCAGATTTTTAATTTGTGTATTAGTAAAGTTTGTCCATTCTAAAAGTAGGTTTCTGAATGTTTTTAACGTTGCCTATTTTTTGTGAGTGAAAATACTCTTGATTTAACATTGTATGATTTTGCAGATGTGCATTCTCAGAAATAAAGGTATGCAAGCGGTTACTGGGGTGGTACCTTTTCTACAGGTAAAGGTCCATATTAATACCTCAAGGTAGTGCAAAAAAGTGCAGAAGTGTTCCTCCTAAAATGTTTAGGTACTAATATTTACTTTTGAGTAACCAAAATGAACCCTTCAATTACAAATATGTTCCTTTTGAAAAGGTACCACGCCAGTGACAGCTCGCGTATATCTTTATTTCAGAGAGTGGTGTAAATCCAAGCAAAAATGATTATTCAACTTTTTGCAGGTTCCAGCATTTTATAAGACCTTATAGCTGTTTTATGGTGTACAGAAATTCAGTGTTTAAAATTTGAACCATTTAAATATCATCAGACCAAATAAATATTTCATATTTCATCATTTATTTGTTTTTTATGAAGAACTTCTGAAGAAACATTTCTAAAGAACTGCAGAGTCATACTGACGGCTAAACTTCAGCCACCCCCTGTCACTCCCCTTCAACAAAAAAATGCAGCATTATGGTAAACCACGTTTGCTGTAATAGCCCCATTCCCACCTTTCAACCAGCTTGCAAAATGTTTTTAATTCACTAGGGACTTCATTAAGAGACTTTGAGAACCGTGTGGATACTCTGGACAGTTATGTGAGAAGTGATGTAAATTACATATTTGCATTTACATTTATTCTTTTGGCAGATGCTTTTATACTTAATACACTGGTAAAACGCTTTTCTTTCTTAGATTTTTTTTATGTTGTTTCTAGCCCAAATATTTAAAAAATTCTAAATCAAAAAGCAATTTCTAGACAAGCAAAACATAGTGTCTTGTTTGAAGAAATAATTGATTCTTGATTTAAGAATTTATTTGGACTAGCAACAACATATTTGCTATCACTTTTGCAGTGTATAAAGCCACTTAATAACGAAAAATCTTTTTTTTTTCCTTTTTTCC